GTTTTCAAATCCAGCCCCCAGGGGCCACGGGTCACAGGGACAGGAGGTGCTGAGCCCCCAGCCCGTGGACCAGGAGCCGTGAGCAGTGGGAGCCCCATGAGCTCCTACTTCACAGGCTCTCCAATCTCGCCCCCCGCCCCCCGCAACCGCCAAGGAGCTCAAATTTTCTGGGTGGGAGAGCCGGATCTGTGGGTGGCACTCCCTCCCTGGTGACGTCTGAATAACCATGACAGCAGCTGGGGGGGGTGGAGCCCGGCTCTGAGAAGAGCTTCTGGGTCTCCCCCTCTCTCCTCTCCCCTCCTCTCCTCCCCCCACCCCTGCCTTCTGCGTCCCCCATGCCAACCTTGGTCCCCGCCCCCTCCACCAAGTCAGGAAGTAGATCCCAGGGGCCAGAACACCCATCCCAAAGTTCCTTTGCATCCAAATATTTACTGCTGTGTCTGCACACAAAAATTAATACACCAATTTTGTGTGTGGTTCCCACTGCCCACTTTGCCTTTGGGGATCGGGCCAGGCCCAGCCGCCCCGGCGGGCCACAATGCCAGCGCCCACAAAGCCCGCACAGAGGCCGGCTGGTCGCGCATACAAAGCACCCGGCCCGGCCATTATCATTCCGGAGCCGAAATCCACCCCGGCGCGCATCTCATCGGTCATTCAGCAGCCCTTAATGACTTGTCAGTTCCTTGCCCTGCCATTTTCTGTCTAATTAATTCTTTTATTGTGCACCGGATAAAGAAAGACAAAGGCCTCCCCGGCAATAATGATTCATTAAAATGCAGCGCCTTCGCCGAGGCTCTTGGCCCCGCACCAGCCTCCGAAGGCACATTGCCGCCCGCCCGCACTCCCGCGGGCCGTGCGCCCCTTAACCCTTTGCAGCCCCACCTCAGCCTCGGGGGAGCTGGTGAGTGGGGCTACCGCAGGTGCCCACGCGGCTCCAGGGAGAATCCGGACCTGACTTCATGGTGAGCCCTGCGAAGTGTCCTGCACTTGCCCACCACAGCCTCAGTGGGACCAAATTCTGGCCCCAGCCCCCGGGGGACGGCTGCCCCTCCCCAGGCAGCCCAGAGAGGGTGCGGGAGGCAGGGAGCCTGAGCTGAGCACTGTGAGGCTGGGGCGGACTAGGGAAGGGAGTGAAGGCCCCGGGGCTCTAGTGACGCTCTGGGGACCGAGTCGGCTGCGGGACAGGGTGGGAAGGTACCTGTCACATGTGTCTGACATGTGTGCCAAGCCAGGTCACTCCTCAGAGCACCTCAGTGAGGCCGTCACTGCCCCACGGTCATAGGAGGAAACTGAGGCACACAGAGATCCCTGGCAAGGGGCAGAGCTTCGGACCCTGGGCCTGGCCCACCTTCCTAGGGGGGGTGGATGGGGGGGGTGGGCAGGGGTTGTAAGACACCCCCACGCAGCAGGAGGGGTCCCAGAGGCACAAGCCAGGAGAAGTGCCCCCTCATTCCCCCAGGCTTCAGAATGCACATTCTCTGCCTGGTTTACTTTTAATTTTCTTACTGACAAACCCACCTTACCTTGCAGATGAGCAGAAAGAAGTGCCGTGTGATCAGAGGTGGTCATGTGCCAACAGTTGCTCTCGGGGACTGGAGCAGGGCGCCGGGTTGCAGCGGGGTCCTAATCTCACTGAGGCCCCCAGCACCCCGGCGGGGGGGCTTATTCCCATCTTACTGTTGGGAAAGCTGAGGCTGCACGGGGAGCCGGCAGGGAAGGCAGGAGGTGGGGAGCCCCTCAGAGCCCAGCTCCCACTCTTCCTGGGGGTGGCCGTGCCAGGCTCTCAGCACCAGGAGGGTCCTCACAGGAGGGCAGGGCCACGTCCCCCATGTGTCTGCCCCTTTAGCTCCTTCCTTTCTCAACTTGTCTCCTTGGAAGGCTCCCGTGCCCCCTGGGGAGCCCCGGGCCTCCACAGCCCATCCTGGGGGTGGGGGTGGTCTGCACATCTGCTCCTTCCAGGATACAGGGACCCCACAAGCAAGCAGGCTCTGTCCCGGAGTCAGACACAGAAGCAGGAGGTGTTAGGACGTGAGGTCTCTGAAACACTGACAGAACCATGATGCTCTTCTTCTTCCTGACTTCCTCTTCCTGGGAGGTAGCACGGGGACCAGGGTGGGTCCCTGCAGCTCCCAGGCACGCCATCCCCCTTGCCTGCAGTGGTCAGCTCAGCCGCCAAAATGTCCTCAGGATGGGGCTGGGGCTGCAGGGCAGGCTGAGGGGAGCAGGGGCCTGAGGGACAGCAGGGCTGAGGCCAACAGGGAGGAGAAGACGCCCGGGCCCAGGGCACAGTTACATGTCTCCTCTCCTTGGGAACGATCCTGGGCCCCGCGGGCCTGGTGGCAGCAGCTCCATCTCCCTTGCCTTGGGGTCTACTCTGGCCGCGGGGGTAGGAGTAGGGCGTCTCGCCCCACTGGCTCCATGACCCTGAGACCGGGTCCTGGCCTGCATGGGTTTTCCCGGATGCCTGGTGGAATGTGTCCCAGGAGGCTGTCCACACAGGGTGGTGAGGACTTGTCTAGTGTCCAGGGGCCGTCAGTCACCACCCACAAACACGTCACACCAGCCCCAATGTGTGGTCCACAGCCCCTGCAGACCTGGTCAGCCGGAGGTGAGGTCCTGAAGATCCTCTGTCCAGGGCCGGCCTGGAGGCCCTGGGCCAGACATGGGGGAGAATGCATTGCGTCCACACAGCAGGCCACATCCTTGAGTCTGGGACACCAGCCCTGGGTGCTGTCCCCCAAATGCGGCCAAAAGTCGAAGCAGGCAGGCTGGGGGTGGGGTCTGCCCCCGGGACAGGCCTGGTGAGCGGGTCGCGGGCCTCCCACCCTCTCTGTGCTGCTCGGAGGACACGGGCTCTCCCCAGAGCTGACAGCAACCACACCACCCGTGAGCTCACATCCAAACAGAAAATGCACTCCTGAAAGCCGATATCATCCCCAGAAGGACCAGGAGGGGCTTTCCCAATCTGCCAGAGCAGGGTCTGGGTCATAAACGCTGTTTCCCCTTTGTCTCTGAATAGGGCGTTCTGTTCAGTGGAGATCAGAGGCAAGTGCGCTCTGCTCTGAGGAAGGAAATGAAAAATGAGGAACTTTTCCCGCCCGCTCGTCCCCAGGACGGGCCAGTGGAACGCTCTCAGGAGAATGGAGCTCTGGACCCGCTGGGGCAACTGCCCCCTTGGACTCAGGCAAAGTGGGGAGAGGCCAGCCTTGTGAATAACGTTGTCTGCTGGGAGTTCACTGGAAGAGCCCTCACAAGCCTGAGGCCCAGGGGAGCCCCTGGACCCCTCCCAGCTGCTCTGACCCCCACCCCAGGGACCCGCCTCGGCCACCTCTTCACAACATCACTGGGGACCCTGCATTTGGGGAGCAGAGACCCCATGACTCCAAAGCCTGAGAATGTTCCGACAGGGAGGCCAGCGGCCTGGCCCCCGGAGAGCAGGGGTCGGGGGGCATCGCATCTCCATGGCCTTGGCCCCGGCAGAGGCCCAGCCTTGCCAAAACAGTGGTGGCCGTCCTTGCCCTCCCCATGAGCTCAGAGGGAGGAGACCCACCAGAGGCTTGCCTGGGCTGGGACCCCTGGGAGTTAACACGCAGGAGCCCCTCCAAGTGCAAACAAAACTGTCAGAGCCTCCCGCCCCCGGGAACCTGGCAAGGCCTGATCGATCCCAGAGCCACAAAGGGGCGGCCTCGCTCCCTCTGTCAGGGAGCCGGATGCAGGGGGTTTCCTTGCTTTGGGGTGTCAGTGCGAGAGCCTGGAGGGCCATATGGACCTGGACAGCCCTTGGCTGGACGCAGGACATGCTGGACTGGCTCCACACAGGCCTCTCTGAGCCTGGCTTGCAGCCCCCTCCTAGAACTGGCCTCGCCCGGGAGGCTTGGCACGCCCTAGACCTCACGATCCCTCGTAAATCCGGGCCGCTCTTCCCCAACACTACTCTTGGCAGGCCCAGGACACGGCTCTCCAGCGCGGGTGAGGTACGCGCCCTGGATCGCAGCCACGCAGGCGGCTGGCAGACAAGGGGATGGGGCGGGTGCCCCCCTACCCGGGCCACCCCATTAGAATCACAGAGCCAGTTGCTTCGAGGATCTGGGTTCTTGTGAGAAGCCCGATCTTCCTCTGGGCCCCAGACGCAGATGCCCCAGATGCATCTCCAGGGCCCGGTGGCGGGTGCGCCCAGCCAGGTGAGGCCCCTAAGCCAGCTGCGTGTGCCGGGGAGGCCCCACCAGGAGATGAGGCTGCCCTTGCCTTGCTGGTGCTCCTCGCAAGCATTTCTCCTTAGAAACAGTCTGCCGACCAGACAACCCCGCCTGGTGCCTGGAGGGCGGCATTCACCCGGCTCCCCGCTTGGCTCTGCGCCAGTGCCCAAAAACTGCCGCCAGCCACCCAGAAACCGGCTCTGGGATTTGCCTGGGAGGAAATCATGTCCTGGGATTTGGACCCGTTTTGCCTACTGAATAGGCCCTGGGGGGAAGGAAGACTCTGGCATCTTGGGGCCTCTGAGATTTGCTCAAATGCAGACCCAGCCCCTGTAGGGCCGGGGCGCTGGCTCTGCCCTTGTGGGCTCCGGGTGCCCACATCCTCTGAGGAGGGCCTGGAGTGAACCCCACTCCTGCTTCGACCGACACCCTCCCGAATGAGACCCCAGGCGTACAGAAAGCAACACACAAAACGCAGCCCAAGTAGATAAAAAGCATTTTTTTTTTAATTTTATCAAACTGGTCTGTACAAAAGTTAGCGTTGCTTGGTCAGAAAGGAGCAGAACACAGCAGGTAGTGACGGCGGAAGACCAGACCCCACGCGGAACAACAGAGTTGGCGTAAAAATGAGTTTGCTGTATTCCCTGCCCCCACCCCCAGAAAAAGATATGCCCCCCCACAAAAAAATTTTTTTTTCTTTTCTAGAAAAAGGTAGGAAAAAAGTAGAAAAAGTAAAAAGAAGCAACTTCTCGGACGTCTTTAAATGTACAAAGTTTAAAGGCACAAGTTTCCATGAAGTTGGAGTTATCGGTGCTCAGCACACAGTGGAAGCAGGTACGCGTCGAGCAGGATTATTCATCTAAAACTAAGACTCTACACACTGTAGTGGAGAAGGTTTTAGTTTCACAGCTTGTAGGTGGCGTCTGGTTCCTAAGAGCCGAGATTAACGTGCTGCTGCAGCCCCCCCATCCCAGGAAATCCCCATCCACTGCTTGGCACAGCCGTGGGCAGGGACGGCCTCCAGCAACACCCCTGCCTTCCAAACCTCAGCTGAACGATGGTCAGAGACACTACAAGGCAAATCTCTTCTCCTCCCTTGGGGTCCTGGCCACCTCCCCGGGGGGATTGGAGCTGGGGGGGAGGCGAGGGGAGGGGAAGAGAGGAGGGGAAGGGGGAGGAGGGGAGGAGGGGATCCCACCCCACCACCTGTCCTCCCAGCCCTCGCGCTCAGCAACCCGGCCTCCGTTTTGTCTTAAATTCTACTCTGCACAAATTACTTCATTAATTAAAGATAAAATAATACAGAACATAAATACATTTCAACAGCTTCCCAAACAAATCGAACGTGTTTAAGTTTCAAAATAAAAATTAAAAAAATAATAATAATAAAATAAAAAGAGAGAAGGGTTAGTTGCAGCCAAATCTTGCTAGGAAGAGCCTTAAACGGCGGGGAGCACCTCGGAGCCGATAGGCTGGTCCCCAGAGGGGCTCCTGCAGCCATGCTCCCGCCGGGCTGTGGATGCCGCCAAACTGCGGGAACGACCCCTGTGGGTCCCCTGGAGTTCTCCGCGCACGTGAGGCCGGCAGGGACCTCGGAGCACAGGCGGCCAGACACCCCACGCCTCTTCCCTCCTTTCTGTTTTGTGCTGGGGCTGCTTTGTGTCCACTGAGGTGCAAAACCAAGATGTCTGCAGGGAAGGGGCCAGAAGGCTGTCCTTGGTTCCAGAGTCGCCAGTTGCCGCTAAGAGGGTGCGGGGAGCGGGCTTTGCTGGCCGCAGGGAGTGTGGAGATCTGGAAGCCGTGGTGCGTCGGGTACCAAGTGTGGTTCCCCTGCACACGCCAGCAGGCACCTGATGGAGCCGCCACCTCCTCTCCTTCCACCAGCGCACCCCTTCTGCAAGACCTGAGGCTCCATCTGTCTTTGCCGAGATCAAGGTTCTCCCTGGCCAACGCCGGCCCCCTCCCCGGGCCACGGCACCCTCAGGGCCTGGTCAGGGTAGTGTACACGGGCTGGTCCCAGTTGCCAGGCGGGCTGTGGGCAGGCGGCACGGAGAGGCCACTGAGCAGGGGCGAGGCGTAGGGCCGACGAGAAGGGTGGAAGTAGGAACACTGGTAGAGGCTGGATGGGAAGCCCGGGTATGGGCTGTAGTAGCCGGGGGCCTGCAGGTCGGTGTAGTCGCACTGCGAGCTGGTGAGGGAGCTGGCCGCCGCGGCGGGGGCGGCCGTGGTGACGCTGGCCTGGCTGCCGTAGGAGCCGTAGTCGGCACGGCCTGGAGAACCGTGCGACTGGTCACCATAGTGGCTGGGGCTCAGCTGCTCCGTCTTGATGTGTGGCCGCGGGGGGCCCGCTTCGGTGGGCGACGCGGAGGCCGACGGGGCTCCCTTGTGGGCCCACACGGGGGATGCCCCGATGCTGGCCGCCCCCGAGTGTGAGTAGGAGGCAGCCCCATAGGAGCCGGCGGCGGGCTGGCCCGGCTCCGCGGGCAGGGCCGAGTGGCCGTTGAGGGGCAGGTACTGGTCGAACTCGTGCACATCAAAGGTGTCCATGTTGCCGATGACCTCGCTGCTCAGCTCTGAGATGTCCACGTTGCTGAAGTCGATGTTTTGGCGCCCGCTGTCCGCCAGGCGGCGGCCTTCCAGCTTCAGCTCCGGCTTGCCCCCGTGGTGCAGGTCCGTCTTGGGGGTGGTGGGCGGGGTGGGTGGCCCGTGGGTCTGCCCTGGGGACAGAGCACATTTCAGGGATGAATGCCCCTTCTGTGGGGGGCCAGCCAGGCCGGCGACGTGCACCCAGGAGGAACACCAGCCCGCTAACTGCCGCAGGTAGAAATCAACGGCTTTTTGTTTCTGTATGTTTCCCAGAAATTCCAGCGGAGCCAGACCCAGACCTCACTCCTTGGCCGAGGAAATTCCGTTAAGCGCCGTTCTACAGGAAGAGCTGGGGCCATGGAGGCCCCACCGTGAAGACCAAGGTGGGGGAAAGGAGAGGAAGTGCCCAGCCCCCTGCACATGACCACAGTGTGACCCACACAAAACGTATTCTCCCTGAGGCTCAAAGCTTTTGCCAGCTTGACTGAGACTGCTCGGCTGGCCGGGATTCTCCCCCAGTCCGTCTGATCCTAAAGCTGGGCTGCTGACCACCATGCCAGGGGCAGGAGTGCTGGGTCAGCACCAGCAGAAAGGCCAGGGGAAGCAGAAACATCCTCAGGCAGGGCAGAACACACCCATGTCACCCAGCGCCGGACCGAGGCAAAGCTGCGAGACCCTCAGTGTTCAGAGGGGGCTAAGCAGAACCCCTCCCTCCCTGTGTGCATCAGGGAACACGTGATTGTCTCAAAGCTACCTGCCCTGGGCATGAGCCCCCGCTCCCTACCCCCCCTACTCATCTCAGCGGATGCCGGAACCCCCACTTCTCCTGCTGGGGCAGGCACATGCTGTGGGGCCCCAGGAGCCCACCTGTGTGGTCACTGTGGTGGTGCGGGTCACCAAGGCCTGCATCGGCCTTGTACACGGCACTGCCGGGGTGGGGGCCCAGCTCGGCCCCGGAGTCAGAGTCGCCTTGGCCTGTTTTCACACTCTTCCTGCGGCGTGGCTGGTACTTGTAATCCGGGTGATCCTTCTTGTGCTGGACCCGCAGCCGCTCAGCCTCCTCCACGAAGGGGCGCTTCTCACTCTCGCTCAGCAAGCTGCAGCACCAAGGGCAGAAGCGGGATGGCCAGGGCCCCCATGCCGCCCCTGGGGGAGGGCCTCACTGACCCTGACACTCACAGGGAGGCCTGCATGTGCTCCCACACCTCAGCGGGCACCAGGCAGGCGCTCCCCTCTCTGGGGACGGGGGGGAGGGGCCTCAGGCCAGCGAGGACTTCTGGTGAGGTCTGTTCTCATTAGGGTCAAAGGAACGTGCTAGAACAAGACCCAAACCTTTCCATCTCCATCATCCTCTTACTTCCCTTTGCCCAGAGCCTGTGTAAGTCCCCTCCCTTTGGGGCTTTCTAAGGCAGGTGGGGGAGGAGGCAGAACCCAGCAGAGAACACCCTGGGGACAAAGCGGGGCTTCCTGGGGACGAGCAGGTCCAGACCTCCAGGAACGCTGGCAAAACCCGTGTGGTCCTCACTGAAGCTCAGAACACACACAGGCCTCTCAAACCCTTCCAGAAACTCACCTCCAACTGCCTAGGGCATAGGGCACAGGGCTGCCAGAGTCCACTGTGCCCAGAGCAGACACAGACAGGCACACAGAGAACAGATGTGCAAACTCCCAGTGCCCACTCATGGGAGAGGAACAGGAAATGGGAGCCAGTGCCCCAAACCCAAAGCCGTCCATTTTAAACCCAAGTAGAACACATTTGGTGGGGACGGGCAGTTCTCAGCAGTCCTACTTTCTGCAAAAACGTCCAGCTTCTCTATACCCAAGTATGCACAAAGCATGCCTGTGCTGGACCCCTCCTGCATCCCTCGTCCTTGTCTGCAGAGGGGCACAGAGGTGGCAGAAGCTGTGGGGAATGTGCCAGCTGAACAGACACGCACCCCCTCCATCTGCCTTGACTTCCCCCACATGCTGGTCAGAGTGGAGGGGAGCCCTTTCCAAAGAGGGGCACCTCCAGAGAGCACCACATTGCCTGATACTGTGTCCTGCTTCTAGACAGAAGCCACCTTTCCTCGGGGAGGGACAGGCCTCCAGACTCTGGGGCCACTCACAGGTGGAGTCCTCTCCTCAGCATGCCAGCCACAGCCTTCAGCGGTCTGTTGGCGACTGAGGGAGTGTGCTCAGGGTTGCATACTCGCCCCGCAGCCCTCTGTGGCCCTGACCACCTGAGCATCCCGGGTGCAGTCTCCCCGGTCAAAGGGTGAGGTTTTCCACTAGGACTCGCCCTGGGTACAGCCACTGGGAGCAGAGCCGAGGCCGGGAGCGGGGCCACCTCCCGGGCCCCCGCGTACCCCCGAGAACCACTCGAAGCCCGCCCGCGCTGCTGGGGCCCCGTCCCTGTCCCTCGCTCGGGGACAGCGCACTCACCGCCACAGCTTGCCCAGCGTCTTGCTGAGCTCGGCGTTGTGCAGGTGCGGGTACTGATCGGCCAGCTTGCGGCGTGCCGCCTGCGCCCACACCATGAAGGCGTTCATGGGCCGCTTCACGTGAGGCTTGGCCTTCAGCGCGCCGCCGCCGCCCCCGCGCACCGGCATGGGCACCAGGCTCCAGTCATAGCCCTTGAGCACCTGCGACACGGCGTCGCGGATGCAGGCCGGGAAGCGTTCGTCCGCCGCCTCGGCCGCGTCGCCCCGGCCGCCGCCCCCCGCGCCCGCCGCGCGGCCCAGGCCCTCGGAACCGGCAGGCGACGGCGGCGCGTCCGAGTCCGAGTCCTCCACGTGCGACATGGAGCTGGCGGTGCCGGACGGGCTGCAGGGCGGCTGGGCGCGGGCCTCGCTCATGTCCAGCATCGGGGCCGCGCGCGGAGGGGCGCGTACCGGGACCCGCGGGGCTGCTGCTCAGCTGCGCCGCGGCCGCTCTGGGACCCGAGGTCGCCGCGCTGTAGCCCGACCTGCGTCGCCGCCGCCGCCGCCGCCGCCGCCGCCACAGCCCGACCCCGGGCCTCCCGCTGCCGCTGCTGCCGCCGAAGCTCCGTCCCGGCGGAGGACCCGCAACAAGTTTCTTTAAGCTGCAGACGCGAGGCCCCGCCCCCTGCCCGGCTCCCCATTGGCCCGCGCGCGCCCCGCCACTCCCGGGGGCGGAGCTTGGACGCCCGCCCCTCCCCCACCCGAAGAAAGTGCAGCGGTTCCCTCTGCGCCCCCGCGCGCCCCGCCCGGCGCCGCGCAGGGCGGGGGGCCGCTTTTCCAGTCGGGGCGGGGAGGGAAAGGGGTCGGACACTCGGGACGGCGGGGCGCTCCGGGGTGTCTCTGCGGGGTGCATCGCGGCTTCTGTGGGTCCCGCCTTTGGCCCGGTCGCCCAGCCCAGGGAAGCCCGCTCCGCGTGGAGGCGGGTCCTCCAGAGCCTCCCCCACAGCGGGTCCTGAGCCCCGACGTCTCGCCCGCAACCCAGAGGCGCAGGGGTCAACTGCTGCCAGCTTGCAGCCCAGGGGAGGGTTGGCTCGGCCGTGTAGCCTCAAAGCCCGGGCTCCCCGCCCGCAGGGCCAGCGCGCCGGGCAAGACCCTCCAGCGCGCCCTGAGTTTGCGCGCCGCGCACGTCCAGGTAAAGCGCGCCCAAGGGCCGCCGCTCGGAGCTGGGCGATCCCAGGTCCCCCGCCCAGTCCGGGTATGAGCTGGGAGAGCGCGGGCGGGGGAGCGGCCCCAGGAGCCAGGCAACCGAGGGAGGCGGGAGCGCCAGGCAGGGACTGGGCTGACCCTAGTTGCGGAGTCTCTAGGGCCGCCCAGCGGATGGCATGGCCGGACACAGGGGCCTAGGGCCTTCCGGGCCTGACCTGGGGGGGGGGGGGGGGTTTAGGAGCGTTGAGGCCGTCCGGCTGGGCGGCCCTGGATGGTCCGGCGAAGGTGATGGCCGCCCCGGGCGTCCTTAGTGGAGGAGGTGGGCGCGCCAGCCTGGAGGGAAGGGGGCGGGCTGTGCCGCCTGGCTTGGGGCGGCGGGGTCGGAGAGGGGACATTTCTCCGGAGGCTAGCGCCGGGCCGCGGCTCCGAGTCCCCGCCCGAGGCCGCCCCCACGAGTTGGCCTTGGGCCTGGCAGTCCCCGAGGGCGGCTCAGATTCTTTGCCAAACCCGCCGGGAGGCGACGGACCGGCCGCCCAGAGCTTCGCCGCAGGCCCTCGGGTGGCCGAGTGGGAGCTGTGGCCCGCGCGCCCCGGGTGACCCTAGGCAAGGGCGCCCAATTCCCCAGCCGCGCGCCCTCCTCAGAGTCATGGACGCCTGGGCCGGTGGCCGCCGCAGCGAAGGAGCGGCGCCGCAGGAGCTGGTCTGTTACCAGAAAACTCCAAACAGAAAGTCGGTGGGTCTGGCCGAAGCGTGTCCTGGGTGCTCATATACCAACCCCGGGTCCACCACCGTGCCCCTCGCTGCCCAGGACAGGCCTCCTGGCTCCACCCTGGCCCGCCCCCGCGCCGGGGTTGCGGATTCTTTAGTTCGCACTTGGGCCTTGGAGCCCTGTCCATCCCGGCTGCCCATCTAGGGATGAAGCCTTAACCTCAGCGGCTCTGGGGGCTGCCCAGGGATCCTGCAGCCTTGCATCCGAAACTTGCCGGCCCCTCTGTGGGGACACCTCAGGGCCCAAGAGGGAGGAGCCCAGATTTCCTGTCACCTATAGGTGACCCCAAGGCACAGGATGGGCTCTGCTGCTTGCCCCACATCAGGGAACCTGATATTCTGCCTTATGGGAAAGTGCCACGGGGGTGGGGTGGGGTGGGGTGGGGATGTTGCTGTCTAAGGTGAACAGCCCTGGTGGGGGGGCCCAGGGTGGCAGAGGTATAGTCTCTGGGAGTGGCCTGTGCTCTTGTCTCCTGTCCTATGGCTGGTCTCCCTTGGCTCTGTCACTTGCCAGGGAATGTCCTTACCTGCTGGTCTGTGGCAGCCTCCACTTGGGGTCCCCACTAGGCAGTTGGAGGACTCAGGGAGGGCCCAAGCGGGGGTTGCCTGAGGGCACCCATCGATCTTACTGGTCCGTGGGGACCCATGCAAGTGCAAGCAGGAGGAGGGTTGAGGTTGGCAGACCTGGACCCCCCCCCCAGAAAACAGGCCCCACCCCTCCCTGCACCCAGTGTACCATTGGGCACCAGGTCTGGCTTTGCATGAAGCACTCTGCTGTGCCAGGAACATGAAGTACAGACTGCATAGGGGGCATCAGGTAAGGCAGCCTCTCCCTGCTCCCCCCTGGCCCACAGTGGGTCATGGGCAGGTGACTGCCAGGCTGGGGGCATCCCGTGCCAAACCCAGGTCACACAGTCGTGTGGCATGTGTGGTCCTAGGCCCCACCCACAGCTCCACAGGGCTGCAGTGACCGCCCTAGGGATCAGGAGGGGTGCTGATGGGCCGTGCCTATCATGTATGTGCAGCCCATAACTCCTACGGAATGGGTAGGAAGGGGCAAATCCTGCCAGGCCTGGACTCAGGCTGGCTGAAAGTATGTGTGTGCATTTCCCCACAAGGCAGCATCCAGGTGCAAGCTCATCGGCCCAGAGCAGGCTGCAGACACGTGGGGTGGCACCCAGAAGTGATCCACAGCCTCCTGGCCTTCTGGAAGGCCTGTATACTTGTCAGCATGCCGTCCAGCCTCCTCCTCCATTAGTGCTGACCTTGGTCCAGACACTCACCACGGCAGAGGGATGTGTGTGTGTGTGGGTGTGTGTCTGGGTGTCTGGGTGTCTGGGAAGGAGTCTTTTGAGGAGGTGAAATTAAGCTGAGACCTGAAGCTTCCAACCGCTTGAAGAAAGAGGGAAGACCATTCCCTCAATGGTGGGGGGGTAGGAGGGGCAACATGTGCAAAGGCCCTGAGGTAGCAGAGAGCACAGGGTATCTGAGAAAGAGTGAAGCTACAGTGATTTAAAACTTGAGGGACAGCTGTTTGAACCTCCTCTCAGTCCACCTCCTGGCTTCCCCTGCTTAGCTCTTCCTTCCCGCCCCCACCCACCCCAATCCACATGACCTTACCTTCACCTACTGGTCTTTGCAGTCTCAGGGAAGTGATCCGATGGGCCAAGTGTGGACCATATCCCTGCCCCTGGGGTGTCAGAAGGCTGAAGGAAATGAAGATTCTAGACCTATGCCCCTGGCAGAGGCTCCAGGGGCACCTATGAAGAAGGAAGTATAGGCTGGCAAGCACCCCATGTGCCTACGAGTCCTGGCCGGTCCAGGCTCAGAGGGTTCCCCGGGAAACTTTTTCTAGGCAGAAGACCTCCAACCCTCCCACCCCTTGGCTTCTAGGGAAGCTCAGGAAGCCCGTGTCCATGTGTGTGCGCGTCCATGTGTGTGCATATGTGTGTGCACGCCCATGCGCGCCCGCAAGTGTGCACATGTGTGTGCGCGCCCGTGTGTGCGTGTGCACATGTGTGTGGTGGGCGCTGGACAGGCTGAGTTGGGAGGAAGGGCTGCTGAGGGCTGCAAGCCGCCATGGAGGAGGGCATCCTCCTCTCACTCCCTGCATCGCCCTGACGGTCTCTCTGCCCGCCCCCTGCCTGGCCCTCATCTTGGACAGTGAGGGAGGCCATGTCCGCAGTTTCTATGGTCTTTCAGAGAAAGGCACTGGGGCGGGCCCCATGGGCCCTTGAGCCCCAGGGACGGCATGTCCCCTGTGTGTCTGCAGCCGTGACCTGGGCCTCTCCGCGAGCCAGCCCGAGGCAGTTGGCATCACATCCTGGGAACCCCGGCTCAGTCTCAGAGATTAATTGGTGCTTTTAATTACTGGCTGGCCTGCAGAAACCGAAAGTCCGAGACAAAGATGAGCAATCAGCTCTGAGTAGTGGCTCCGTAAAGACAGCCTCATCCTGCCCCGCTGGGTCTCCGGAGAGAGAGGCGAAGGGGCTCACGGGACGCAAGAAGTCCAGTGTCCCTCAGTAACAGACTATCAGGGCTCCGGGCCAAGCTTTCTGTTGAAACACCCCTCCCCGACTTAGTTTGCCAGCTGGCGTGGAGGTTCTGGTTTGGGTCAAAGCCCTCCCCTTGCTTGGGCTGATGTCCACTTGGGAGCTGGCTCTGTCTGTTCCTTGGCCTCCTATGCTATGTGTGCGGAGGACACTGGCAGGAAGATCACGCCCAGATTCCTCCCCCTCTGCCGGCAGGACCGGGGTGTCGTGGGCCAGCCCGTGGCGGGTGCTGGTCCTGAGCGGCTTGCTCCAGAGAGGGGACAGCTGCTCCAACCTAGTGCATCTTCAGGACACTGCCCAGCCTCCAGGTATGTGCTCCAGGCCACATCTCTGCACCTTCTTGGGAGCTCTGAAGCCTCCTGAGAAGTAAACCCACACTGCCCCGGGGATGACTGCTGACAGCCCAGTGGGACCCCCGGCTGTGGCTGTTCTTTGAAAAAGTCTGGGGAGAGGGCAATGCTTAACCCAGAGGGCTGAGCCCCAGTGAACACGGTCTGTCCAGTGACATGTGCTACGCAGATGTTTGGAGAACAGCTGTGGTCTCTGCTCTGGCCTCCGCTCACCCCCTGCTGGTCGTGATCCCCCGGCCTCCGGCTGTGCCTATCCATCTCTCCTCTCCCTGGCCTGGGCCTGGGGGCCTGACTCCACCAGCGACATTCAGGTCGTGGTGTGTATGTTTGACGGCAGGCAGAGGCTGCTTCTGTAGCCAGAAACTGTCCTCAGGCAGGGTCCCTGGGGTCTCCAAATACAGCCTTCCTTGGGTAGAGGTGAGCACCAGGCATCCAGGCCAAGCGGCAGCAATATCATCTATGGGGGAAACCAAGTCCGCTGAGGTGTTAGAGACTTGGAATCTGCCTCTGCCTTCCTCTGGACACTTCCATCCCATAAGCCAATACATTCCCTTCCTTGTCTGTGCAGGCGGGCATTATATAATACCAGGCTCCTAGATCCCTAGGACCCAGACCCCATCCTCATTCTGGACTTTCTGGCTACTCTGGGCTCTTGCCCCCGGACCCCAGTCCCCAGGACCCCTGCCCTTCACCATCACCTGGGGCCCCATCCCCGTGCACCAAGCTCCCCTGTGTTCTGGTCACTGGGCTCCT